TTACTATGTATTCTTGTATTTACAATATTACTACTTCACTATCTTAATATTGTATTGTATTATCATCCACCACACTTATATTGTAACAGGGCCTTGCCCGTTTAATACTAAATAAATAAATGAATAAAAAATAAAAAACAATATACAGTACATATAAAATATCTCATTTAAAAATTTAATTTTAACCTAAAAAAAATTGTGACTAACGATATTTGATTTTTTTTTAGCTAAAATAAGAACGACTCGTAAGGAACCTTGTATTAATTTTCAAGTTATTTTGGTCATCCAAAATTTTTTTACCGACACTTCAAAAAAAAATTCTCATAAAAATCGAAAATTTCAGTGGTCTATAAATAACTCAAAAAAAATTCAAAAATTTTGGGTACTTTAGGTATAGGTACTTACTATTTGATTTTATTGTTTTAAATTTGTAATATTATAAACTAGGTACATAAAGAAGATGAATCACATAATTATGTTTTTATGAATACAACATTAAATCTATCATAGATTTTCTTTCTTTTAGATTCTGAGCGGATCGAGGAATGTATTGATTTTACCATGATGTGTGTTTTTTATTTATTTATTTTTTGTGCCTGTCATCATGTTTTGGGGCGGTAAAAGTGCTTTGATTTTTGACTTTTAGAAATTACACCACCTAGTCAATTATAATTGTAATACATACGATCCCTTACACATAATATAATATAGTTTGTGTACGAAAATGTTAAAGTATAAGATGTTGTAGGTATATACTTTGATTGCTTGCGAAGCACACCATTAGACACTTACAATAATTAAATGTAATACTTTATAACTGTTTTAACCAACAATGTCACAATGACCTCAACAGGTGATCAGCACTGAAGGATCCWCATTTGTCTGCTCTTACAATGGTTATAGTACCTATATCATCATTAAACGTGGCTTCTATTTTGCTTAATCTACAACATAAAACGAAAGGTTGTTACTCATTACAATATAATATACCTACTTAATATTAAATATATTATTATTCATAACCTTACCTGATGTAACCTAACTGTATTATTCGCACCATCATTTCAGTGAGTTAATTAAGTCGTTTAATTTCTCAATACGTCATGTATACAGTAGTAGAATATTTTATTTTCCATATGAATACATATTTAAATGTCAAACAAAATTTAACATATTTTGAAAATTTTCATTTTAAGAGAAATTAAAAAATATATATATCAAAGGATATGCAATTTTTTAATATTATTTAAAATTTTTTACATAAGATGACGCCACACCCGCATGCGTTGTCTTCGTCTTTCAAGTACGTAACATGGCAAATTGTATGCTCAGCAATTTCAATTTAGCTCCATTAGTTTACAATTTCGAGTAAATTGACCTCTTTTTAGAATTAAAGGTAACATTATTAATAGGTTTTCACAGAGGCTTTTTATTATATTTCAATTTTGAAGCACCTTATGAGTATTTTTAAAACTGTGAATTGCTTGTATATCTTAAAATACTCATAACTCGCTTCAAAATTGAATTATAATAAAAAGCCTCTGTGAAAACCTATTAATAATGTTACCTTTAATTCTAAAAAGAGGTCAATTTACTCGAAATTGTAAACTAATGGAGCTAAATTGAAATTGATGCTGAGCATACAATTTGCCATGTTACGCACTTGAAAGACGAAGACAACACATGCGGGTATGGCGTCCTCATAATACTTATAATAAGAAACATCACGTGTATTATTCATAGTCTTAATTTCTGTAAAAAACATGAACTAACAAATTTCGAAAACTAGGTTCCAATTGGCAATAAGTTCCAAATKAATTCCAAAATATTGGTGAAGGCTYGAGGTTGAYACGACAATGTGGAGTGGCCAACTTCACGCACGTTACTATCTGATAATTATACCATTGATTATAAATATAGTATTTATAATCAATGATAATACTAATTCGCCGGTCGGTGGACCTTAGTGCGGGTATATCGACCGGACGGCAAAATCCGGTTGTCTGTTCGGGCCCTTATTGCACGATATACGAAAGGCATTGTATAAAATGTTGGAACAATGTCCGGGCAATCTAGTACAATGCCCGGTAATGTATGACAAATTTGAGTTTTGAAATGATCATTCTTACATTGGCCAAAATGTTCGGGAAATGTGCACAGTGCCCGGGCATTATATATCAATGCCCGGATTTCCCACTTTGCCCGTAACATATACATGCAAAAATTGTATACTTTGTCCGAACCATAAGCGCTACTAGGGGGGAAGGTGCTCGGGGGTGCTTCAGTATCTCCAGATCAAAAACACCAAAACTGAAAAAATCATTTGAAAAAGTTTTTTTTTTGTTTTATGTAAGGTTGTTTAAATATTGAAAGCATAGTCGCAAATAGTGTTTGAAATCTGGGGG